GCAGTGGTGAAACTCACCAAAATCCAACTCCAATTCCCAACATCAGCAAGTGACACCTGTAGACATATGACCTGTTAATGCATTGCCCACGTAAAGCCTGTGGAAGGCCTAGTCAAATAAGTTACAGGTGGACATGCAGTGGTGAAAGTCACCAAAATCCAACTCCAATTCCCAACATCAGCAAGTGACACCTGTAACTTACTTGACGGTACCTACATAGGCTTTCCGTGGACATACCTTTTTTGAGGTAAATATCAGACCGTGGTCAAATAGGTGGTAAGTGGGATGAATAGGCTTTTCGTGGTCAAATAGGTGATAAGTGGGACGAATAGGCTTTTCATGGTCAAATAGGTGGTAAGTGGGATGAATAGGCTTTTCGTGGTCACATGTTGTCAGTGGGACGAATAGGCGCTTTTCGTTCAGTGGGTGTAATGTATATGAACTTGTCAGACGGTGTCTCCAGAGTGTAGCACTGTACGTTTTGCATAATAATATGATAATAAACGTAAATTATGACTCGTTAATGCATTGTCCACGGAAAGCCTGTGGAGGCCACGTCAAATAAGTTACGGGTGGGCATGCAGTGGTGAAAGTCACCAAAATCCAACTCCAATTCCCAACATCAGCAAGTGACACCTGTAACTTACTTTTATAAGTTACTGTGCCTGTACTTACCAAAATAGTTGTAACGTAAATTAATAAATGTGTTTTACATAATAAAATCATCATTATGGCCAGGAGGACTAAAAGGCTTTTCGTGGTCACACAGGAGGTCAGGGGGACGAATAGGCTTTTTGTGGTCACATAGGTGGTAAGTGGGACGAATAGGTAGTCCGCGGCAAAAATATGTGGTCAGGGGGACGAATAGGCAGTCCGTGGTCAAATTGGTGGTCAGGGCTACGAATAGGCAGACCGTGGTCAAATAGGTGGTAAGTGGGATGAATAGGCTTTTCGTGGTCAAATAGGTGATAAGTGTGACGAATAGGCTTTTCGTGGTCAAATAGGTGGTAAGTGGGATGAATAGGCTTTTCGTGGTCACATAGGTTGTCAGTGGGACGAATAGGCTGTCCGTGGTCAGTGGGCGGGGCCCGGGGGTGTCACCTGGGTCGCGGGTGGGCTCGTGGTACCATAGGTGGTCAGGGGGATGAATAGGCTGTCTGTGGTCAGTGGGCGGGGCCTGGGGCGGTCCTTAGTCATCCAGAGGGGCCAACAGGGAGCTTCCGGCCAAATAAGCGCTCCGTGGGAGGTTTAGGCTGCCCGTGGATGCCCACCCCCAACCTATTCGACGGGCCTCACGTAAGCGCCCCGCGTCAGGAGTCCGCCCCCCTGTGGCCGACCTACAGATTGCAACAAAACGCGCAAAAAAGTGCCCAGATCCGTCGCCATTCCGTGGGGCCTCCGGCGTGACCCGCCGGGCCTCCCCTCGGGGCCCGGGCGGTCGTCGGGGGCGGGAAAAATC